AATGAAATTAATCATTTTTTTATCTGTAACCGTAACAAATCTGTGACCAATTAATTTAAAAATCTGTGACTGTGTGACCTATAAATTTTGATCTGTGACCAACGAATTAATTGTGACCTATAAAATTTTTGAACTATGACCATAAATTGTAAATCTGTGACCACAATGGTCACTTGAATAGTCGCCGGAATAATCGCCGGAACGATCGTCGGAGAAGAGTGGTGGTCGAAATGGTCACCAGAATAATCTCCGGAGCGGTATGGGTGGTGCATGTGGGATGAGTTAATTATATTATATTAAAACTAAATATTTAATAATTTATTATTTTATAAATAAAAAATAAACTTGATTTTTGAATTTTCAAACTATAAACCTGATTTTTGAATTGGTGTAAAGTATACACCTTATTTATGAATTTTTCCCTTACAAATAGCCATAAATCAGAGGTCATTAGGAAAAAAAATCAGGTTAAAAATTAAAAATACAGATTAATACGCTCAAATTACATTTAGGAGAAAAGAATTGCAATTACATCTAGATCAATTGGGAGAAATTTCTTGAACATGTACATCATTATTTAAATTATTTTTTATATTGTATCACGTGACGACACATTATTCAATAATTCTTAAAAAAAAAACACACACACAGTTTTCCATCCACAACTTTTTGATGTACACAATATGTCACCCCCACAATATACACTTAGGAAGACATAGTGTACATCCCATTGAAATTCAAAAAGTTGTCGGAAGAAAATGTATTCTTTTTTTTAAAAAAAATTGTTCAACTATGTGTCGTCACGTGATACAATGTAAAAAAAATGTAAATAATGACGTACATATAGCATGATTGTTTCTTGAAACCCCAAATCCATCCTCCTCAGCCATCAGCCACCCCACCGCGACAGACCGCCGGAGAATAGCCATTAATTGTGAACTTAAATTTTGGCGGCAAATGACGGCAATTGAGTCTAATTACTGTATATCATATGCTACGCCTAATTTCCCTTACAGATAGCTGAATATAATCCTTAACGGCTTCTGTATTATTGTGCAGCCAACTAAACTTTCTTAAGGAAAATTAAATTACTACATTGGACGATTTCATATTAATAGGTACAGCTAGTTTGGAGAATATTAGTTTTTGTTATTTTGTGGTAAGGATTCAGCGTATTAATTTCCAAGATTCACCATGTATAGAAATCAAGTCCTTCGACACAGCTCCTCCTCTAAAGGATGTTGAAATCAACAGAAAATTAGAAGAATTCATAAAAAGGAATTATTCAACATCAGTTAGGCATTCTCATCTAATTACTTGGGGTGAATATTTTTTTTTTTCCTTCTGCAGTTCTGGCTTTTCTGCTTTATAATTTCTAATGTAATGTTAACATGTACTTCAGAGAACACGAGAACTAGCAGGGTGGTTTGCGTTACATCTGGCGGTACAACTGTTCCTTTGGAGCAGTGATGTGTTCGTTACATCGACAACTTCAGCTGATCAAGTCACAGAGGAGCTGCATCCACAGAGTAAACATCATACTAGGTTTCATTTGGGTTGGACAGTTCTACGATTTACTTATGTTTTGAAGGCTGGATATTCTGTAATATTTCTCTATCGGAGGTAAGTACTTCAGCAATTAGATGAGCTTATTTTAAGTTTAATTGAACTACTAATTTGTTCATGAAGATTGACGCAGAACGAAAGTTCTAGAGTTTACCAGCGTAATCCCCAACAAAAAAAAAAAATTGTAAATCTCAANTAAAACAATTAAAAGCGAAAAAAACAAAAACTTCAATTGCCCGGTAGACTACCTTAAACTGCAAATTTGAGGCTGAAAACGACGTCAACCGGGCAACCCAGGTTGGGACGTTGTAGAGCACTGCGAGACGTTTTCGAAAACATATTAAAATAGAAATTTTGACATTGGTGCAAAAAGTTATGCCTTTTTCTTTGAAACAGCTCGTTTTGCCAATTTTCGATCCAATTCTACTTCAAACCCTAACGCCACTTGTCCTACATCAAAGATATATCTTATGATTTTGTTGGCATTGTTAACAGTTTAGGAATACATATGCAGGGGAACCTTCCAGCCATATTGTAGGTCTCTTCAGGATGATCCATTGCTTGAATGTTTTGACATTACCAATGAATCTAATATTGGAGGTTAGCAGTTTATTATCATTCAACCTATTACATTTCATAGAGAACCATTTGATACGACCACTGTGAAGAGAGTGATTTGATAAATTACTATCAATGCAAAAACATCATGAACTATAAACAGTGCTTAAGAAGGTTATGACTTTATTGTAATTTTGTGCAACAAATTTTTTTGGAACATATATTTAATAATTTATGGAATGTTATCCAAACTAAACTTCATGCTAATGAATATCTATCTCCTGATATTTTGACCAGTTGCTTGTTTTTGCATTAGATAGAGCAATTTTGGACTCTACTTGCTGTAAATAAGACAATACTTGCTGCAAATGCTGGTGGTTAGTATTCAAATTCTACACCAATTTTCTACTAAAGAAATGGTTATAATACTTGAAGATAATACCTGATAGTAGGAACCTAGAGATCAGTAATCACTCTGTTCTTCTTAGAGGAGCGTCACATTTTATGAGAAGTTACATCCTCGGTAGATGGTTTCTTTCTTGCAGCTCTCCATCTCCGCATGCGCCCTTTTTGTTCATTTGATTTTCATTTCTTCATTTACTGAAGACTATTATGTATGGACAGATTCTGCAGTTGATTGCATTATCAATGAGGAGCCTCGGATCAAGTGCTATGTTCTATCTTGCAGCTGCAGTTTCTGAATTCTACGTTCCATGGGAAACCATGGTAATAAACTAACTCTACTGAAGATGTCATTTCATTTCAGTTTGTTATTCTGTTAATCTCTATCATGGGTAAATCTCCCTGAAACATTTGCTCAAAGTCAAATCAAAAGGTCTGGCATTTAATTGTGTTGTTTCATGGCTTCGTTTGGTGAAGCAACAGACAACTAGATGTATTTCACTCTTTTTATAATGTCTTGGATCATGTTTAAAAGTCATGGTGAAAGTCAGACTAGTGCTTCTGGCATTTAAAGCAGTCCTTCATCCTTTTACTTTTTGTAAATAGGTATATTTGGCCTAATTTCTCTTTCAAATCACATTTTCCTGATTATAGAAATGAATATCTCGTGAAGGATATCTATTGGTATGAAGATGAGTAACTATGAAATAATACTAATTTGCATTCTGGATGAAATGAGTTCTTGCTTGTCCTGATTCTCAGAAACGGATACATTTTCCTTGTTCATTTTGTCATTGCTTCTGTAAGCATCACTTAGTAATGAGTCTGATGACTGAACATATGAATCTACTTCCACTATATTTCTTTTACGAGATCATGTAAAGCACCCAACCACAAAACCTTGTTGCTTATTCTCTCTCTCTCTATATCCAAAGAACATAAACTTCTTGGAGCAGGACTTCCACTTGAGGTCTAGGGAATATGTGCTTGAAATGACTCTCAAACTTGTAATGAATTGGTGATATTCATTTGCTGAAGTTTAAAACGTTGTTGTTCATCCAGTTCTACAGTTTTATTATCATAATTAACACTTGTTTGGTCCCCATTATTTTCAAAATACATTTTTCTCCCCCTTATTTTCATCAACATTTTTCAATAAAATAATATTACCCGTAAACCCAAAAATTTTCCTTACTATTCCAAAACACATTTTTGACAAAAGAAATGGGGCTCAAACAGGCTCTTATTCTGGAAATTGCTCGTATTTTGGGATCGTGGTCATTTTGGAATGTGGTAATCTGATCTCTTATGCATCTTCAACTATGTTTAACTCAATAGTAGCTAAGATTACAGATGTTGATGCAGGAGGGTCCGAGCTACATGCTAAGTTGTCAGATAAAACGTTAATGGCTCTAAGATATCACAAGTTAGCAAATCGGCGCAAGGATTGACAAGTGATTGCGTAACTTTGGTAATTGAGTCGCGTTTCGGTAATTTAATCATAACTTTGGCTATGCTTATCAGAATCGCGATTATGACCACAATCCGAAAAACTTGTTTCGGCACGCACGTCGTGGCCACCTAGCTTTGTCCGGTATGTGCCGTTTTCATCCTCAAATTCCGTTGTTTTCCCTTCCGAATTGCTATTTTTAGTTAAATTTTACTATTTTGGTAATATTTCGATTGCATGTTAGGAGATGATTTTTAACTCTATTTGTGCTAGATTTTTCGCAGACTACTTATTTTATTCTGTATTTTCGTTTGGCGTANCAAATTCAGCAGTTTTCCCTTCCAAATTGCTATTTTAAGTTAATTTTTGTTATTTTTGGTAATATTTCGATAGCATTTTAGGAGATGATTTTTAACCCGATTTGGACTAGATTTTTTGCAAACTAATTTTATTCCATATTTTTGTTTAGCGTGATTTTTGAAATTTTGCCATTTTTGGTAAAATTTGAATTTTTGCTATAAAGTCTGGTTTGTAGACATATTTTGATTATTGTGTGATATAATAAAATTCTCTAAACTTCAGAGATATTTTCTCTGTGTTTTTCGGTATTAATCTTGTGTTCTTCTCTGTAAATTTGCTGATAGAACTAGCCTGCAAAATAATAACTATTTTGCTCGACGTCAGATGGTGCATAAAATTCAGTCCCGTTCTGGTCCCCTGTACATGCGGCTTGCTGAAGTCCCCAAGATGCTCTCAGTGCTGGGGAAAGATTGGGCACCTATGGCCTTCTGTGTTTCATTTAAGGTTAGATATCTGCCAGTGGAGGGTTTTCATTTTGACTTGTACTTAAGTAGTATACAACTTGTGATAAAACAACTGGGGAGAACTAGGTGGTTCATATATCTCTGTATGTGCAACTTTTGCACCTTATCTGTTAATAACTTGTGAAATAACTAAAATTTCTCTTGTTAGAAGAAATATTAATATACTCGGATCGCTGTTAGCAATGTTGGAAATACAAGAATTATGTATTGTTTAAATATCACTTAATGAAACCAAACACCGAAATGAATAATTCTAATAATCTCTTTTCTCACATTTCTAAATTGTATAGAAAAGTCTAATATTTATAGGGAACATGTAAGGGACGTTCAAACCCTTTTGGTAGAGTTGTTGATGAAGAATAATTCTAATAATCTCTTTTCTCACATTTCTAAATTGTATAGAAAAGTCTAATATTTATAGGGAACATGTAAGGGACGTTCAAACCCTTTTGGTAGAGTTGTTGATGAAGTGTGATGCAAAAAATCGGGTCCAAAACGAAATAGGAGAAGAAAACGCGAAAAAAGGGAACAGAACAGGTAGCCCTGCGGCGCCCACCTCCCCAACGCCGCAGCGCCCATGCCCGGTGTTGCGACGCCTGGCAATCTACTCGAAAAATAACTTTTTTTAGCTCCAAATTGTTTTCTCCACCCCGAACTCTTTTTCAAGTTCAATACCAATTTTCAACTCCCAATAGGCTTCCAAAATAAAACTTCAACTTAACATATGACTCTAATATCATTTCAAATTGAATTCTTCTTGACATACACTTCAATTAAAATTTTTTAATTACTTCAACAAGGAATTCGAGTCACACCCAAATTCTAACACGTTAATAAACAAAATTTACGTTGGAGACTTCTGAGTACCATCCCCCTCCCTAGCTCTCGCAAATAAAATCCCTCTAGGCCAAATTTATAAAACGATACAGAAATGAAGAGAACTGCCATCTAACCTTTCTTGTAAGCAATTTTTAT